ATCTATCTATCATCTATCTATCTATCTATCTATCTATCATCTATCTACCTAATCTATCATCTATCTCTCTATCATTTATCCTTTATCTATCAATCAATCACCTATTCTGTCTTCTAGTTTCATCCTGTTACTGTGATAAAACACTATGTTCAAAATAACTTGGGGAGGAAAGCGTTTCTTTTATTTGGCTTATACTTCCAGATCCAAATCCATCATGGAGGGAAGGCAGGGCAGGCATTCATGGCAGGAACCTGGAGGCAGAAACTATGTAGAAATGCTTTCTGACCTGCTCGCTGGCTCTAATTCAAGCTCAGACTTAACTACCTTTCTTATACAACGCAGATCCCACTCGCCTAGGGATGATGCTGCCTACAGTGGGCTGTAGCCTCCTACATCAATTAATAATCAAGACAGTCCTCGACAGACATGCCCACAGTCCATTCTGATCTAGGCAGTTCCTCAGTCAAGGCTTTCCTCTCAGATGACACTAGGCTGCCAAATCGACAAAGCTAACTAGGACATTGTACATAGTGATGTATATTCTCAAAATATCTGAGTGTATGTATATTATTCTCAAGATATTCTTGAAATGTACTGCGGTATTTGAACTCAGAGTGGAGTTCAGTTACCACTTATTCTTATCTATATATGCAGTTTTGTTGAGTTTTGTTGTGTCTTTTGTTTTTTATTATGTATTTCTGTATATTATCTTCTCAAAAGAATTTTGTGTAAAGTTTTTAAGGATGAGGATTGCATCTTTCCTTGAACCCCACCTTCTGAAAAAAATCCTTCAAAGACCTGATGAAAAAAGGCACTGAGCAAATACCAGGGGCTTAGTTTGTACCGTACTGCCAGAAGAAGGCAGAAGAAGGCTTGGTTCCACTAAGTACTTAAGAAAAGTGAGCCCAGGTTTGGTGCTTGTCACTTAAGACAGAAAGTGTTGGAATTTTAAAGCAAATTCCAGAGCTGACTTATAGGGAAAGAAGCTGTCACTCTTAGTCTCTTAGATTTTAAGACTTCCTATGCATCGCTAAAGGTTTAAAGAAATATTTTGTAGTGTGTTTTATTTTTAATTCCATACCCCACATGGTTATGGTTTAACTTTGATTTTCTCAAAGCAGTTCTCGGAGCACCACCCAGCTTGTCTCATCTGCTGAGCCCATCCCTCCCCTCTGCGCTGTTACACTTCAGTAAAGCACAACAGGTTGGTACACAGTGGTGGGACTAAAGCAGCCAGGATTTGTAGTGGATATTTCAGTTCTTTTTTTTCTCCTTTGAGATAGGATTTCATGTAGCTCAGGCTAATCCCACTCCCTACATAACTGATGATAGCCTTGAACTCTTAATCCTCCTGCCTCTTACCTCCTAAGTGCCAGAATTAAAGGTGTGCCAAGCCATTTCATTTGAGTTTTAATATATAATTTTTATTGAATTTTTGCAATTTTCATACAATACAGTTTGAAGGTATTTAGATACTCTCCCCTATCTGTACCTCCCCCACTGCACCCTGGTCAGCTTAATATATATAATATGTTCTATAGAATCTTATTTATGTCCCCAAATGCCCTTCTGTGTGGATCCATCCACTGGGCCCACCAAGAGTCCCATCCTTGTAAGACGCTGTCTCTCTCCTTCCCGGCAGCCCTCAATTGCCAAAAGTTTAAGTTGGATTGGGATTTCTTACCCACTTCCCCATGTCTAGACTGGGATTTTGTCTGATTTGAGCTTGCATAGGACTTGTGCATGCTGTTACCATTGTTGTGAATTCATATAAGTAATTAACCAGCTGTTTGGAAGAATCTGTTTCCTTGTGGTCGTCCACCCCCTCTGACTCTTAAATCTCTCCACCTTCTCTTCTGCAATGATCCCTGAGCCCTGGGAGGCAGAGGTTTGAAATCGGTGTCCTATTCAGGGATAAGCACTCTGCAGCTTCTTGTTCTCTGCACATTGGTCAGCTGTGGGTTTCTGTGTTAATCACCATCTGCTGCAGAAGGAAATTTCTATGGTGAGAGTTGAGAGATGCATTAATCTATGTATAGAGGTTGCATTGAAGATGTGTCATGTAGGGTTAAGTATCTCACAGACACTTATTCTCTGCATTTGACCAGCTCTAGAACTCTGTAATAGTCTCCATATGTTGCAAAAAGAAGCTTCTTTAATGAAGGATGAAAAGTAAACTTGTCTTTAAATATAAGGATGCATATTGAAAGTAAGATATTATGTTGATTTGGTGGCTAACAACAGTCTGTAACTCCAGTTCCAGGGGATCTGACCTTTGGGCACTGCATGATATGGGTGCACTTACGTACGTGTAGGCGTAACACTCATACACATAAAATAAAAATAATTTTTTAAAACAAAGAAATTATATTGGTCTAGGGATGTGGCAAAGTAGATTTTCTCGAGGACCATTGATTGATGTTTTTCCTTAGCAGCTTGTATAGTGTTCTCCAAAGCTATGAGAGCTGCCTTCAGGAGGTGACTTCCAGCTATGACCTCTCCAGCCATGTGTATTGGACTACGTTACAGTACCACACATGAGTTTCCTCCCATTGAGTGGGCCTTAATTCCAATTAGATAGCTGTTGATTATCCCCAAGATAAAAGTGCTACTACTGGACCAATAGCAATAGTTTGCTGGACCAGTCATTGCTTTTTAGGCTTTTTTTTTTTTCAAAGGGGATAAGAGTTTATTCTGGAGCTAGATGGGAGTGACCATGACCCAGGAACACAGATTCAGGTTACCCCAAATTCCATGTTATGTTCCAAGGTAGAGTCAGTTTCATGAAGTTTTTATAGTAACAGAACAAAGAAAAGTTTTATGTCAAGACACTTTTCAAATACATTGGTGGAAACATTAAGTAGGTGGACTCAGCAAAAGAGAAATCTCAAATGCAGTAATCAGCTGCCAATAATACTTCGGCCAAGATTGGGGTCTGCTGCCCATTTCCCCAGTTCTATGCTGGGTTTTTCTCTACTTGAGTTTGCATGGGTCCTGTGCATACCGACACCATTGCTATAGGTTCATATGAGAAAGGTCCCAGGAGCCTGTAAGACTCTGTTTTCATATGGGCATGCACCACCTCCACTGGCTCTTCCGATCTTTCCATCTCCTCTTCTGCAATGGTCCCTGAGCCCGGGGTAGGTGAAGTTTAACATAGGAGTCCTGTCCAAGAACCCACACTCTGAAGATGCTTATCCTCTACACTTTGGCCATTCGTGTCCTCTTGTGATCATTGCCCTCTGTTGCATAAAGGAGCTTTGTTGATGAGATTGAGAGATGCATTAGTATTCTCTCTACCCCTTGTTTCATGAGGTGTAGTGGTCCCTGCAGATGTGTCACTTAGGGTTGGGCATCTCACAGACAATCTCTGTGTGTGACCAGTTGCGGAACTCTGTAATAGTCTCCGTCTATTGCAAAAGAAGCTTCTTTGATGAGTGGTGACTGGGATAGTTGTCTGTAAATATAAGGATCCATACTTAATAAAAAATTACATTTGTCTGGGGGATATGACAACCTTAGGGTTTTCTTTAAGACTTATGACCTCTCCAGCCATGTGTGTTTGGCTGTGTTTATGGAACCACACATGAGTTGCCTCCCATTCAGCAGCCTTAATGCCAGTTAGGCCACTGATCATTATCCCCAAGATAAAAGTGCTGCTACTGGCACAATATAGTTTGCTGTGCCAGTCATTGTTGTGGTTATTGGGCCTTAAAGCTGGGGTTGGACGATTGATTGATGTTCTCCCTTAGCAGCTTGTATAGCATTCTCCAAAACTATGAGAGCTGCCTTCAGGAGGTGACTTCCAGGTCAGTTCCAGCTCTACTGCTCCAAGTCCTGTGTCTGAAGTATGTTCTGTCTCCAGCAATAAGTTCTTACTTTCAAGTTCTGGGAGGCAATCAAGGGCTGTGACAACAGCCTGTGTAATTTTAGGAGTCTCTTGGACTATCCTGGCCAAATACTCAAAGGGAAGTTTCTCCTCTCTGGAACTGATTATTGTTATATGGCCTTCAGCTATACACACAGACTCATGTAGAAATATTTAAGTATCATTTTCAGTAGGCTTTAATACATTTCCCTCTGGTTTTTCACACCAACTAAGCATTCTCTCTCTCTCTCTCTCTCTCTCTCTCTCTCTCTCTCTCCCCTCTCAGTCTAACACTCTCTCCTCCCTCCCTCTCCAGTTAATGTACCCTCATTTTCCCCATTTCGCCCTTGATAATACCTATCTTTTATAGTGTCCCCTCTCTTTAGTGCCTTCTCCCCCTTACCACCATGGTTCCTTGTAAAACCCTCCCTTTCCCCCTCCCATTTAAATACCATTTTACTCATTTTCCCCTTGGTAACACCTGTCTCCTACGTTCTTTCGCTTAACCTCCATGGTTTCTTTCCATTTTCCTGGCTCTTGCAGTTACATCAGGATATAGATATAGATATAGACATAGACATAGACATAGATATAGACATAGATATAGATATCACCAAATATCTTTGGCGCTAAGATCCACAAATAAAAGAGAGCATTTTTTCTTTTTCTGAGTCTGTGTTACTTCACTTAGTATAACAGTTCCTAGTTCCATCCATTTACCTGCAAATTTCATGATTTCATCTTTCTTTACCACGGAGTAGAAGTCCATCATATAAATGAACCACATTTTCATTATCTACTCATCAATTGAGGGACACTTAGGTTGCTTCCATCTCTTAGCTATTGGGAAAAGAGCAGCAACAAACATGGATGTACAAGTGTCTCTGCAGTAGGATGAGTCCTTTGAGTATATGCCAAAGAGTGTCAGAATTGAATCATATGGTATGTTCATTTTTAGTTTAGTTTTTAAATATTTTATTTATTATTTTATGTGTGTGAGTGTATTGCCTGCATGTAGGTAAGTGTACCCATGCCGTACAATGATGCCCATGGGGGTCAGAAGAGGGCAACAGCTTCCCTGGAACTGGAGTCATAGATTGTTGTTAGCTGCCATGTGAGCACTGGGAATTGAACCCTCTGCAAAAGTAGCCAGTGTTCTTAATCAATGATTCATCTCTCCAGCCCTCATTTTTAGTTTTTTTTTAAAATAAATAAGTTACTGAGAATTTCATACATGCATATAAGGTGTTTTGATCAAATCCATGCCGACACCCTCCCCTCCAACTCCTCCCATATCTCCCCATCACTTTTTTCTGATAACTTCATGTACTTCTTCTTTGGTTGATTTATTTATTTTTATGGAGCTTTTGTCTACTCTAACACCCCTCCCCCCGAAGAGGTAACCTAAAATCTTTTAAGGATTAGATACACGCTCCCAAATACTTTTGACATTTTTGGCCTCTGGAACAGAGTATGTTGTTGCTAAGAGGCCCAAGGACATTTTGACTTTTAGCCAAGAAACTGGCTACTTTTCTTTGGGGTCTTTTTACCCTAACTTCCTAGACAATTCCTACTTCCTATTCTTATCACACCATCTTCTGAAGAGGTTACCCAAACTGCCAAGAGGGAATCGGGACACAGACCACACTGGTGTCTTCCATGCTGAACAGGGTTGCAGGGTGAGGCAGTTGGTGTACTCCTTCAGTGGGTCTATCTAAAAGATTCCCAAATTGCATAACTCTTATCTATAGGGGGAAAGAAAGTCCTTGAATTTTGAATAGAAAATGTGAAGGAGAAGTAAAGGCAAGAGTAATTATTAGCATTATAAGTTCTAGACAGGGAACTAGAGAAAAGTCAGAACAGGGCAATTTTCAAATGTTATGAGAGTCCATTGGAGTATACTGGGAGTATACGTGGGCACTCTCCAGAAAACAGCAATAGGTTCTGCTGAACACAACCACCCTTGTTATGAACACAACTGCCCTTGCTATGGACTTCCCTCTCTGATCAGGTATTTTGATAGCTGTTGGAGTGGTTAGAGTCAGTGTCAGTTCCCTCTCAAAGGCTTCTAGATAGGGTCAGAAAACAAAATTATCCATCATTTTAGAACAATAGCTGGTTGTCTCCCTTAGCTATGGGTGGGCACTACAGTATTGGAGACCAAGATTTGAAGTCTTACATCTGAGCAGCACATTCTCATTAGGAACAAAATCATCAATGAGAAATAATTGTCTGGATAACTTTTTATATAAACTTAACCCTAATGTCTGGGAAGTGTAATCCTTTGAAATCTTAAAGAAATATACTGATGACTTTACTCTGGTTATACTTTCCTT